ACCATGACGAACGGTCGCCTAACGTAAAACCCCGAAACGAGTCACAGCAAACCTCCACGTCCCAAGCAAGATAGGCTACGGCGGTAAGTGGCCAACTACAGAGCAAATGCGGATACCGAAGATGGTAAAGTCGGAAGGCTGTATTGTGGAAGGACGATTTATTGAATACGTAAGTCAAAAATGTAAATGTACAAAGCCTGTCTTGTATCATGGGGGTTTCAGCGACCTTCGTATCCAGGATGAGAAGTCACTTTCACTGGCCATTGGTAGTTCCTGCATAAAAAAACTTTAGTAAGACATACGTAATGCGGGCGCAACGGAAGTAATGATACACTGTTTCCAATAAGTACGATTTTAATAGTAAGAATCACATGAAGTAAATAGCATGCTGTGAAGGATTGGCAATTCGATAAATTTGCTTACCGGTTCTTTGGCGGGGGATAATTGTGGGCATGTGGCGGCAGGTATAGTGATTTCTGTAGTCTAAATAAATGTTGATGAAAATCCCGAAAGTTTGTAACTGACGAATGTTCCGCCGACGTGTCGATCCTCCTCCGTACTGGTCCTGTGATCCATGAAACCACCTGATTGCTGTCCGTCGAAATATCTCTATTGTGCATTTGCCAAAACGGGGATGTTGGGCAATGGCATCTGCGCGTGAAAATAAAGCAAAATTGAACTTACCTTTAAGGACAGGAAAAAGTGGACAGGCCATGAAGGACTTCTTCTCCTTGGATCCGCCCGCCCAGCAGAAGTTGTGGCATAAGGGCGGGCCCAATAGAACCGTCAGTGGGTTTCTAAGGAATTCTGCCTCATTTCGACCACCTACCATGACCGGTTGCCGGATCTGAAAACAGTCAAGTAGATGTGCGCATACCGCCTCGTTTGCAAAACCGTCGTCTATGCTGAGCCGACGAAGAAAGTTTTCATACGCCTCCTCGGTACACAGCGGTAAATTTAGGGAAGAGGATGTGACAGAACCAGCGCTGGAGGCTCTCTGCAATGTTTCTCTTTGTGACAGCATCTACAGCAGTTACGATTGCCAATACAAAATAGCGTACCTGTCGCACACATAGCAGCCATTGTGGGCCTTCACTTG